TTGAATAAAATTTATCACATTTCTACAAAGAAAAGCTCAAGTGTGTGCAGAAGATTATAGTAGTTTGAAAGGGAAGTTCTATTTCGAAAAAATATCAAATAGCTGCTCACTTTCTGGACTTCTTTTTATTAGCCCAAGGGCATTAGCCCATAAGGGCTATTAATTTCATTTCGGCATTTGGCATCGAAAACTTTAAATGTCCGTTTCACTTTTGAAATTGCTGCCACCAAATATTAGAGTCCTGCGTCATACTTAAAGAAATTAAATAATGAAGTATCTGCATAAATGTATGTGTCTCTCATTGTGATAAAACAACGGTACCTAGAGCCATTCAGTTTTGAATTATGTAATTCACCACCAAATATGGACATCCGGAAGCCACAATTTGAAATTTATAATTTGTTTAATACCGATTTCATATTTTGTAATACTTCAACGAATTTTTGATTAAGAAACTCAACGATTTCAAAGCGAGCAATAGCAACAAATGAGCATATCTTTAGAAATTCCGATACACAGTTTCGAATGCTGGAGATAAAAATGTTTATTTTTTTTTTCCATACAGTGTTGCCATTGCTCGCTTTGAAATCGTTTAGTTTTTTTAATCAAAAATTCGTTGAAGTATTACAAAATATGAAATCAATAATAAAACAAGTTTGAAATTCAAAGTAGGGCTTCCACATGCCCATACTCTAAGGAAGATTACTATATTCAAATTTGGATGCCTCTAGGTATCGTCGTTTTATCACAATGGAGAAACATACATTCATGCAGATTCTACATTATTTAATTTCTTTAAATATAATACAGGGCATACATAAATATAATACAATAATATTTGTATTTGGTGGCACCAATATGAAAAGTGATTCGCCGTTTGTAGTTTTCAGTGCAAAATGCCAAAACGAAATTAATAGTCCTACAGGGCATATTGTCCCTTTGGACTAAAAACACGTGCGTAATACTTTAGTCAAAGAAAATGTAAAAATATCGTGATCTGGGAAATTTATATATTTGAAATTGGTAAAAATTTAAATATGCCCTTCATCCTTTCCATTTTCCTAAACAACAACAACAAAAAAAAAAAAAAAAAAAAAAAAAAAAAAAAAAAAAGAAGAAGAAGAAGAAGAAGAAAACCTGAAATTTTCAGATTTTAAAGGGGGTTTCAAAGGGTCGTCTTTTTTAACATTTTGTGCGTTACATTTATTTAATAAATATCACGTTCTTAGCACATAAACCATAAAATTCAGTTCAACAGCAATGTCGCAAAATAGTTTTAAAAGGAGTCAATCTTTAGAATTTCCAATACAGATTCTCGCGCGCTAGAGATGAAAAGGTTTTTTCTGTACAACGTTGCAATTGCTCGCTTTGTTAATCAAAAATTCGTTAAAGTTTTACAAAATATGAAATCGTTTATAAAACAAATTTCAAATTTAGGATTTGGTCTTCCACATGCCCATATTCGCAGTAGGTTTAGGTCATTCAAAATTCGATGGCTCCTAAGTACCGTTGTTTTATTCCAGTGCGAGAAATATACATACATTTATGCAGATTTTTCATTATTTAACTTCTTCAAATATAATGCAGGACTCTAACATTTGGTGGCAACAGTTTGAAAAGTGAAACGGACATTTATAGTGAACCAACGCAAAATCGCAAAACGGAAACACTAGTACTTCAGTAACGAAGCTTCTTTGGACTAAAAAAATGAGAGATATCATGAGAAATCAGTTTTTCTTAATACAAAAACAAGAAATTATATCTTCCAAATAACTAATTTAGATAATACATTTTTTCACAATTCTAGATAAATCAAAAAAGATTCACAAATGATATATACCTATACGTATGCACATCATATATACCTTAAGAATATTTCTCCGAAATCTAACATATCTATTGAAAAGTTTCTTTCTGTGGACTTTGACAAGCAAAATATACGAATTGAGAATCGCGCCCGGACGTGCCGCGACATGATTCATGAGTCATATTTCTTCAAACCAAGCCTAAGTATTCTGGGTAGCGGTTCGAAGATCCCCCCCCCTCATTCTGAGTATCGGGAAGGAGGCGTTCATGACCTGAAGTAGAAATAGGGGGAGGGGAACCACAAGCACAAGAAAAACTTTTCTGTAGTTAATAATTTAGTATATTGCCTTAACTCATCGAACAAAATTTTCAACCAGAATGTCAATGGGTACGCATATATATTTCGACACTGAATAAATATTCTAAATGTGGAACTACTTTTATCAAGAGAAAGAAGAGTGCACTTAGTTTGAAATGATTTTAATTTAAAGATGAGTTTCTTAAGCCTTTTTTAAGTGAAGATCACTTTAAAAAAAGAATAAGCAGAATATTCTAATTATAAGATTTTATAAAATAGAATATTCTGCTGACCACTTTACCTTGCCCGCTTCGAAAGCAATTCTTTTAGCGAATGTTAATGATTATATTTTAAACATTACATTGAATTCCTTTTGCATTAAAATAATAGAAGAAAATTTCTATTCATTTTTAATAATTCAAGGCTAAGGTGTTTGGATAATCTTTATCTTATTAACTATAAAAATGAAATATGTTGTTTACTCGCATCCATGATATGGATGAGTCTGCCTATTCTTGCACAACATTGTTTGAATGTACGCTGGTATGCTTAAGTCTGAAAGTCGGCTCATTCCATCAAGCCGACTTTAGTACTTTGTTTTTATTACTTCCTTGTACGAAGTTGAAAGGAAGTATTATAATCGCGAAAAATTGCGGGTATCATATTTCAACAAAAGTATCCATTTTGACCGCTATCGAATGCAATTTAACGATTAACTTGACATCTGTATGTAAGGACAAAATAAGAGGACTCTTCTCCCCAAAAAAGTTATAAAACTGATTTAAAATAAATTCTAAAGAGAATTTTTTATGGCGTCTGTGCGTACGTACGTACCTATGTATGTATGTATCTCGCATAACTCAAAAGCAAGTGGCTTCAAAACGTTGAAAACTTGTATGTAGGGACTTCTATAACAGAAACTTCCCCGACACGAATTATACATTATAAAATTTACGAAGGCAAGAGTTTCTAAATGTTTTTTTATATAGTTTCTGTAGGCAAATGTTTCTAAATTACTTTGGTTTTCTAAAAATTCGGTTTTTTAATTTATTAATTTTTTAAATTTAATTCTAGTCTTTTAATTGCTAATTCTTAAAATTCCGCTTGTTTAAATTTCTTTTTCGTAATTCACCACATTTGGTATTACTTTTGGTTTTGACTCTTACCCTCTTACCCTTGAATATAGATATTTAAAGTTTTTATGTACTTTTCCCTTGTCGCTAAGTGAGATCTGAATTAATTGAATGAGAAATATTGAATCGTTTGTGAAAAACTGTTTCTTTTTTATTTGTCTAACTTCTTTTATACATCATTTTAGATTTATTATTGTATTTGAATAAAACATGTAGCAAAGGTTAGATAATTCTTCGGATGATATAATATTTTTGCATTTTGAGTTATAAAATGAATGAGATGTAACGCTGTTGAGTCTGCCTAGTGCCAGAGTATCGCTATGGTAAATACATATAGTGAGTTTTAAGGAGTGCATTTATTCTATTGTGGTTTATGCGTTATCGATGAAGTACACTTAATTCAATCCAAAATGTTTAGATGAAATGCAAGAAAAAAATGGGAATAATTTAATATTCTGTACAAGGAAGTCATGTGGTCTACAGATAAGACTTTTTGAGTTCGTGGTAAAAATATTTCTCACGCAAATATGTAGAAGCAAAGTGAATTATAATTTCCGAAACACCATTCATACAGTTCACTATATTCCGTAGTAGTACTTTGTAGAGACCTTAGGTACTTTTTGGAAGCAGAAGAGATGAAAAATCAGCAACGCCTTCGCCGGGAATCGAACCACGAACCTCTGGAATACTGGCCCAGCGTGCAGAACCACTACACCACGAAGGCACGCTAGGAAGGTGGGAGAAATACCTTATATGCTCCCCCTTTTAAAGGGCGACTGGGGTTTTCAGGGGACCCAATCGCCAAATCCTGGGTGAGGAAAATCCTCATCCACACGCTTTTAGTTCGAGCGCCACTGTAGAGACATTAGGTACTTTTTTGGAAGCAGACAAGATGAAAAATTAGCAACCGACTTCGCCGGGAATCGAACCACGGACCTCTGGAATACCGACCCAGCGTGCAGAACCACTACACCACGAAGGCACGCTAGGGAGGCGGTAGAAATATCTTATAACTTAAAGCTCAATGGCCATCACACACACGAGCTCTGGCATTTGCTGATGAATGCTACGTATATTGTTCACGGGCATAGCAGAGACATTCTCCAGAAAACCTGCAACGAAGTTTTAGCCCTCTTCCATCGTCTCTATTGCCAGAAACGTCTTAAAATCTCGGAAGCGAAATCCAGGTACATTATTTTTCACAAACTTGGTCAAACTATCCAAAGAGACCCATTAATAGAAATGAAAGGTAACCGAGTGAAACGAACCAAGGAACTCAAACTCTTGGGCCTTGTTATAGATGAAAACTTAAGTTGGATACCGCATCTGCGAGAACAGAGGACGAAAGCTTTGTGCATACCGAATAACCTTAAAAACATGCAAGATTCTGATTGGGGCTTAAGACCACATAATCTCAAAATAATTTACAATACGGTAGTGGAAAAAATTATTACGTACAGAGCGGCAATCTGGGCCAACCCCATGAATACATGGAAAATCAAGATCTTAAATAGCACACAACGCCCGTTCGCCTTAGCTATTACCAAAGCATATGGCACTACAGCAACTGCAGCTGCCACGGTTCTAATAGGCCTAATACCTCTCCACATTAGGGCAGTCATGGAGTCAGCAGTAACAACCGTCAAAATGCTTAAAAGACAGGTAACTTACAGATATCTTCACCTTAATCCAGCCGATTATGAGCGCAAGAGGTCGTTGCTTAATGTACATCCAGCGCAACAGGGAGCATTCAACACCCAATGATGCTCAATTGCCAAAATACTTCGGAAAATGCAATTTGCATATATACAAACGGTTCCAAACTCGATGGAGGAGTTAGATGCGTTGCTGTAATAAAATGTAACGATGAAGTTTTACAAACATGGAAAGGGCACTTAGAATCAGGAAATACGGTATTTCAAGCTGAAGTGGCTGCAATTAGGCAGGCCATCGAAGTGACGGAACAATTTGATGGGCACACATTCCGCATCTTCACAGACAGCCATTCTGCTAGTTATGCAATCCGTAATCCCTACTATTCCTCTACTCAGATAGCTGATATCCAGGCTTTGCTTAGAGAGAGCGAGACTCGAATGACTATTCACATCTCCTGGATAAAGGCACATGCTGAATACCAGGGGAATGAAGAAGCCGATGAACTCGACAAAGAAGCAGAAAGAAACATTATTACTCAGCCTGTGCCCATTCTACTACCTAGATCTCATCTCAAGAGACAGATCTGGGAGAAGGCATTAAAACAATGGCAAGAGGAATGGGATGCAGCCAGCTCCTCAAGGTAGGTAGGTAGGTAGGTTACGGAGGACTAGAACGCCTGGTGTCTAACAGAGGTAAACAGGCATGTGTTCCACGTCCTTCTCTAATTACAGCAAAAGCTTTCTGGGGCCACACGAGGCTGCACCAGGAGATTATTGAGGTTGTCAAAGGGAAGTACATGGCCTTACAAGGGCATTAGTAAAATTGTATTACAGATTGAAGAGGCAAGCTATGGTGTTACAGATGGTAGGTAGTTAAACTAAAAATACAATAAGACGTACTCATAAAAAGACATAAAAGCACATAGGCAAACAATACACAAAACACAATAAACAGAGAGCACATAAAACAGGCACATACACATAGTCACTTAAGGCACAAAAATACAAATGGAGTATATGAAGTCACATGAAAGCTGGAGCACAAGGTTAGTGTTGGGCAGTTCTGTTGTATATAAAGACAGGTACATCTTGAATGATGTATCATGAGTTCGTGAATACTCATGTGTGCAGAAGAGTGCAGTTAGATTTCTAAGGCGTTGATTATTGTAGCGTCGCTAAGAACATAGATATAAAACACTGATTAAAATAGCACGAGGATGTTGTAGCACTAATTATTGGGCAGTGCCCCAGCAATGAGTGCACCGTGAGGCACACAAGCGTTCACTAACACTCCATAAGAAGATGCTTGTTCACATGCTGTCGAAGGGATTACACATATATCATTAAGGAGGCATAACACATCTCACTAAGTATATGTCGTGTACTTGCGAATTGTTAGTATTGCCACTTTGGGATTGGTGGGCATGGGAACTTAAACACACAGTTGTGGTGAAGCCCAGATATTGTAAAATCCATTGGACTAGTCTAAGAGCTTATCGTCAGTACACCAGAGCGTCATTTTAGCACGGTAGGCAAAGGTCTGTGCCCAATGCCGTGATGGTATTCATGATGCTGGAGATTGAATTAACCGCTCCTTTATGCGTTATAAGGAGTTGGTGAGTATTTTATCGTAAAGTTTCCACTGATCGACTTCGCCACTGATCTCGGCACTCTTTGTAACAAGATTTGTGACTGGCCACGGCCGCTTTCCAGTCTTTTGTCTCATCTAACTTCTGTGTGTGCGGTATATACTATTTGTATACGTTCTCGTTGTATACGTATACCCACTCTGTTACCCGGCTCAGTGATCTCAGTTTCTTTACTCATATTATGTTTGTAAATTATTATGCATTTTGGGCTTTTAAAAGGATTGAATTATGTTGTTCATATCTTCCGGTTAAGATTTTTACGCCTTTAAGAAATCTGCAAGCAATGTTTGTAGAATTACCAACAATTTAAAAGCTGTTTAAGTGCGGTTAAGCCTAATGTTTAAATAACACGGCTGACACGTAGTTTACATTTGAAACAGCAGAATAGTAGATTTCTTGCCAATCTATAGAGACTAAGCTTCGCAACAACAAAGATAACGCCTTCATTTATTATTGCCAATTAAATCATGCTTAATCCTTTCTGGAATTTTTTCAAGGAAATAAGTATTTAAGATTTACTTCGTAATTTTCAAAATAGATATTTTGAGTTTTTATGTATTTTTGCGTTCTCGCGAAGTGAGAACTGAATTAATTGAATGAGAAATACTGAATCGTCTGTGAAAAACTGTTTCTTTTATGTTTTGTTTGCTTAATTTCTTTTATACATCGTTTTAGATTTATTATAGTATTTGAATAGAGCATGTGGCAACGATTAGATAATTCTTAAGATGATATAAATTTTGTGAATTCTGAGTTATAATATGAACGAAATATAATGCTGTGAACCTAGCACCAGTGTCGCTATGGTAAACAAATGCTATGGTAAACACATTTTCGTTATTATTGCTTATAATAAATATGCCAAATTTACAAACGAGCCAAAATGTAAATTCGCGTATATCTTAGGAAATTTTGAATAGAAATCTCTAAATTTTGCAGATATGCTTACAAATACACCTACTTTAAGATGACAGCAAAAATTTTGTAGGTTATAATACCAAATTTTTTTTCCGAAAAATTTATAAAAATTATTTTAAAATACAAATTTTAAAAATAAATCATAAAAAAATGGGCGAATTCTATTTAGAATGAACCTAAATTTCGAAATGTGAAAGGAAGAATCAAGTAATTTTAATAAAAAAAAAGAGTTAATTATAAATATATATCGAATTTAATTAAAATAGAGGAGCTAAAATTTTGAGAGCTCATTTTTTAAAATGTACTCCGGTGAATTTTACAAAACTTAGCAGTTTGGCATAATTTGAATTGTAGAATCGAAATATGGAAAAAAATGGAATGTCATTTCAGAAAGAGTCCGATTTTGTGTCAAAATACCTATAATAGAACAATGCTGTATATAAATGTAATACATATCCTAAGTTGCGATTTCGAAACACGAAAAATGCAATTTGAATTTCGTCGATCGGTGCAGTAGAACGGGAGATATAGATTTGTCTAATTTTTTTTTTCTCGCAATGTACATTTTTACCTATATGGGTTTGTTTCCAAGAAGCACAGCAACGTCGTAACGACGTTGTAAACTTGTCGCGGATGTAATTGCAAAAACCTTGCAATATGTTGTCTTTAAGACGCCCAGATGTCCGCGAACATCCACTGTTTTGCAACCGTTGCAAAGACGTCTTTATTACATCTTTGCAGTTGAGGTTTTTGTCGCATAGACGTCGTTATTGCGTCTTTCGCAGGTGATATTTTGGTTGTGAGAGCATCGTATCACGACGTCTTAAAGACGCCTAAATGTTCGCCAAATTTCACCTATTTGCAACAGTTGTGAAAATGCCGTTATTATTTCTTTGTGTTACAAATTGATTTATGCAGAAAAATAAGCTTAATAATTAATGTATTTTTCTTCTTTTTTAAAATTTTGTATTCCTTGTGTTTACCTAAAGTTAAAATATATATCATTTCCTGAAAACCAGAAGATAATAAAATTTTTTCTCTTTAGACTAAATATGCATAATTAATAATAGCCTTAATTATTTTCAGTACTTTAAACTATAGTTTTTAAATAACTTAAATTCTAAGTTACGATTATTTAAGATTTCATTATTTTTTTCCTTAAATGAGAGTAATTATGAAAGTGGTTATTATAAATATATAACATATATAGTAGGTTTTAAGTACTGTAAAAACCCTTATTTTCGCGAGGCTTTAATTTTCGCGATTTTCGCGAGCCCGTCGTAATCGCGAAAATTTAGGCCTAGCGAAATACTTTTTTTTCCGCCTCAAATAACTTTACTTAGGTACTTTTGAAATTTTCAACTTTCGGGTCTATTCATATACAATTCGTGAAATTTTCAGCTCGCGAAATCACCGATATACACTGGTGTGCAAAACTTAAGGACGAGACGGTTTTTTCAATATAACTTTGTACAAAAGCTTTCTAAATTAACACATTTAATACCGTAAGATCCCCCGTACGTAAGGACATGAGTAATGTAAGCAACACTCACTAAAAGAGAAACCAGAGGGATGAAAAGAAGCTTTATTGAAAAAGTAACATTGAGCGCAATGCGACTGAAGGCCGAAACATCCCTGTGCTGGGTGTCCAGCAAGAAACATCCGGTCTTTAATAGGGGATATGATCTCCCCTGACTGCTAGGCAGGTTTCACAGCGTCTGCCCATGCTGAGAATGAGGGTGTCAATGAGTTGCTGAGGCATTGCTGCCCATTCGTCTTGCAGCGCCAATCGAAGCTCCGGAATCGTTGCTGGTGGTAAGGTACGAGCTGCCAAGCATCTGCCTAGAAAATCCCATACATGCTCGATGGGATTGAGATCCGGAGATTGTGCCGGCCAATCCATAAGTTCAATATTCTCACTCTCTAAGAGCTGTTCGGCAGCTAATGTGCGATGACATGGTCCATTGTCGTCTATGAAAAGGAACTGCGGACACATAGCGCCTCTAAAAAGACGCACATATGGAAGAAGAATCTTGTTACAATAACGGGTCCCGTTTACTGAACCTGCGTCGAAGATGTGAAGGTCTGTATGACTACCAAGCATGATGCCTCCCCAAACGAGAACACCGCCACCTCCATACCTGTCCCTTTCAATGATGTTCGAGGGATGATTGCGGCTTCTCCGCTCTCTCCAGATGAGTATGCGATGAGAATCGCTACTCAGACTGAATCTGCTCTCATCTGTAAAGAGTACTCGTCCCCATTCATTGTCTCTCCAATTCCGGTGTTCCCGGCACCCCAGAGAACGCCTTCTCCGATGGGCAGGCGTTAGAGGTACACACCGTACAGTGCGTCGTACAAATAGACCACCACCTTGCAGTCTTCTGGCCACGGTAAAACGCGATATCGGTTGTCCAGTCGCCTGTGTCGTGTGTCTAGCAATTTCTCCCGCTGTCTGCCGCCTGTTTCTTCTGGCCTGTAAGGCAATATACCGGTCATCTGCGGATGTGGTTCCTCGTGGACGACCACTACTAAACCCTCGGATAGCTGTTCCTGTAGTTTGCAATTGTCTAAAAGTCGTGAAACGATGCTGTGAGCAATTCCGAACTCTGCAGCCACACTTGTCACACTGCGGCCTTCCTCCAACTTCCCAATGATTCGACCTCGGGTAAAAGCATCCAGATGTCGTATAACAGATTGATTATTCGCCATTTCTCGCTGAAGCAGCAACTCATTGTGATTTTAACTGCTATACGGCGTGCAATCTCTTTGCCAGAAATACTGATGTTACACCGACAACATGCTTTATACTACTCAGACACTTCCCCATTACGTCTACCTGCATATCTGCGCATGTGCTACCGTACATCACCTTACTTAATCTCCTGATTGGTCTTTCTGTCCGCTCTGCCTCTTCGTTCAGCTGATATGCTAATTTTTCGACTTCGTCCTTAATTTTTGCACACCAGTGTATTCATTTTCGAGAAAAATTACGGCCCGTGAAAATAAGAGCCTTTACAGTAAATAAAACTCAACTGGACATAAATAAAAGAAGCGATATAAATTTATAAGGTATTTCTCCCACCTTCTTGGCGTGCCTTCGTGGTGTAGTAGTTCTGCACACTGGGCCGATATTCCAGAGGTTCGTGGTTCGATTCTCAGCGAAGGCGTTCTAATTTTTCATCTCTCTTGCTTCCAAAAAATACCTAACGTCTCTACAGTGGCGCCCGAACTAAAAGGATTATGAATGATGTCTTTCCACAACAAGAATTTGGCGATTGGGTCCCCGTAAAAAAAAAACCCAGTCGCCCTTTAAAAAGGGGGAGTATATAAGGTATTTCTCCCATCTTCGTGGTGTAGTGGTTCTGCACGCTGGGACTGTATTCCAGAGGTCCGTGGTTCAATTCCCGGTGAAGGCGTTGCTAATTTTTCACCTTGCCTTCTTCCAAAAAAAATACCTAATGTCTCTACATGTTAACACTCATGATTCTCGAATTTGGACCACCAAAGAACTTCATGTAGTTCAGGAAATCGCACTACATTCACCAGAAGTCGTTGTTTGGTGTGGCTTCACAGCAGATTTTATCATTGGACCATTCTTTTTGGAGAACATTACTCTAACAGAGATCTGTATCATTACCTTGAAAAGATGTCGTGATATGTTGACTAGATCTGTCGTTCCACATCTTCAATAGAGACGATTTTTCGAAACGTAACTTATGCAGCGACTTAAGCACCACCGCACATTTGTCTAGAGACACAGTCCCCATCACTTTACAGAAGAAAGGATCACAAACAGCTTTTTTTTTTTTTTTTTTTTTTTCAATTGCAAGGCTCCTCAATCCCCGGATTCGGTTTGGAGCTTTGTTAGCGGGGGGGGGGGGTAGTGTTTATGGTATGTGGTTCATCGTTTTTTTTTTTTTTTTTTTTTTTTTTTTTGTTGTTGTTACACGGTTCACAGTTTATTAGTCAGAGAGGACCAAAGATTCTGGTTAGCACGCGTCCGCCTTTTTAAGCTACTCTCTTTCTTAAGCTATTGTTACGCTCGGCCGTACTTTAGGCCCTGGATAGCTTCGCAGTCAATTAGCGTTAAGGGGCCAACTTCGTTAGAATCTTGATAGCTTCCGCTATATCTCTTTAGTTAAGATTAGTTTAGTTTAATTCTTAGTTTTTTAAGTTCAAGCACGAGTGTTGGCTTTATTATACAACTCCAAGACGGAGTTCTGTTGAATCTTATTTGAATAATAAAGGGTCTTTTAACCCTTTCCAAGTTTATTTTTTGTCTCACGAACTCAAGCGATTATTCGCTAAGTAGTTCTTAAGATTCTTCACATACAACTGTAACTTAGAATTACACAGTGAACCCTACACCTTCTTTGTTATTTATTTGTCTAACATTCAATTGTGTAGAGTAGAACAGTGCCATATTTTTCCCCTATCGGCAACTTTCAGAACTATTTGTTCCTGAGGAAGCCTTTTTCTCATGTCGTCATTAGTCCTCCTACTAAATATGGCATTCCAGATGATAGTCTGAGCTATAGATGGCTCTGAGTTGTGTTAGCTTAAAATGAAACACTCTATACGTAAAGGTATTATTTTTCTTTGTTGAATTGGGCGTTAAGAAGGTGTTGGCTGCGCCCACTACTGATGCCCTGTATATGTTGTGATATGCTTGCAGATCGTAAATCAACCACAAATTCCTCAGCTATAAATATTTTCGTTCAAAACAAAATCACAAGATACTTCATGCTTTTTTTAGAGCAAGTTAATCTTTTCTAAAAATTAATTTAAAATAAACAAATAAATAAGCAATAACTTTTTTCTTCATTTGATTAAGCATACGAGAGCTATCTGCCTAAGGGAAGGGATTCCTTCGTGGAGGATTTCCAAAGGTCTAGTTGCGCACGGGTAGAACCACGAAAACACTCATGCAGTCAGCCCGTACGCCTGGGATTGGACCCGCAGTGTTCAGCGACTTGACTACCTGGCCGCTAGTTAACCTAATACTTTTCTGAGAAATGAAGGTCCCAAGATCCCTATCTGATTTAGTCATAATCATATATTACTTTAAAACACTTTGTAGTTATTATTAAAAACTAAATATCTCATTATTTCTTCGCTGATTCCATACACCTTGAAAATTGGAAGTTGCTTCTCAGGTGGTTCTTAACTACAAAACCAAACTGTGCGTCAAAAATAATTTGTGCTTATATCAAAGGATTAGGACAGTTAATATTTTTTTCTGAGAACCTACAGCAATTTTCTCTTGATAATAAAATACTTTACTTGATAATAAAAAGTTTTCCTCTTATTTTGGTGTATTTAAAACGCAAGAGAATTTTATCCTAGTATGCAATTGAAAGCATAGTTCTTGGCACTTTTAAAGAATTCTGTGCACCTTCCTGCTATTATGTTACTGCAAATGTTGTCGATTACATATATCTGCTTGATGTTAAAGAAAATTGGGAAATGTAGCCCCAGTTTATAGGAAAGTATGGCTAAAATTTTATGGGGAGAAATAAAGCATTAAATAGAAATGAAAGAAAATCTGAAAGAGTTCAGGACGTCCTACCAGAAGATTTGCTAAGGTTTTCTTTTGCTCTCGTTGATGAGCTCGTAGTCTACTAGCCTGCTCTTGAACTCACACCAGCTGATGATTTCCCCCCCTATCCAAAGGGACTTCTTCCCTGAGAGACTATTTGTTTTTCCTGACAAAATGCGATTTTGCGTTGGTTCACTATAAATGTCCGTTTCACTTTTCAAACTGTTGCCACCCAATGTTAGAGTCCTGCATTATATTTGAAGAAAATAAATAATGAAAAATCTGCATAAATGTATGTGTATTTCTCGCGTTGGGATAAAACAACGGTACCTAGAGCCATCCAATTTTGAATGACGTAATCAGACTGCAAACAGGGGCATCTGGAAGCCCAAATTTGAAATTTGGAGCAGGTTTTATGATCGATTTCATATTTTGAAAAATTTTAACGAATGTTAACGAACGAACACTCAATGGTTGAAGTAATAAGTAATTACTCGTCACAAAATTCATCTAGATTTTTAGCCTGAAAGAGCTGTTCTTGAAACGCGATTTGTGAGCATGGCGAGAACGTAAATAAATTAAATAAAAGGTATTTTATTTATGATATACCTAATTGAAAACGTTAAGTATTTTTATAGGATTACATTATATATATTTTGTTATTTTTCAGATACTTTTACTGATTCATGACTTTCCCATGTTAGTCTAAATGTACATTCGTCTAGTGTTTTATAAAATACTTCGCTGTTCTTATAAGGTATTTCTCCTGCCTTCTTGGCATGCCTTCGTGGTGTATTCAAGAAATCCGCGGTTCGAGTCCAGGCGAGAGCATTTCTCATTTTTCATGTCTCCTGTTTCGAAATAACCTGATATCTCTAAAGTGGCGCCTGAACTAAAAAAGGTGGTGAATGATGATTCTCCACCGGATTTGGCGAATGGGTCCCTTAATCCACAATTGCGCTTTAAAAGGAGTAGTATATAAGGTATTTCTCCCGCCTTCTTAGCATGCCTTCGTGGTGTTGTGGTCAGCACACTCGGTGCGTATTCGAGAGGTCCACGGTTCGGGTCCCGGCGAGGGCATTGCTCATTTCTCACCTCTTGTGCTTCAAAAAGCCTAATGTTTCTACATTCCCTCTGCGCCATCTATATTGACAATTTATGCCAATGAAACCGTACTGAACTTTAAAAGACCACTATACCGAAAATATAGTGTTCGAAGAAGGCACGGGCGTTTATAAATGTACAGTGTCTGTGCAGCATGGGAACACTCGTAATAAACAGCGAGCTCAAAGTCATACCGAGAGGTTGTTGGTAGGGAAAGACAGCTGTAGTCTTGTACGCCATGATAAAATTCGTGGGCTTGTTCGGAGTAGGTAAAACCAGTGACATTAGTCACAAGAGAAACACAATAATGATGTACCTTATGTTACACAACTTATGTTACATTCTACATTATTTTCTCGATGTTTTACGCTTGGACTGTTATAATTATTCCCCCGCCTACTATTCTATAAAAAATTTTCTAAATTTTAGACACTGGTAAAAAATAACCAAACTTTTCATTTAAAAGATAGGCGACTGCCGATTCATATTTTTCGTACAAAACCATTAGCTCTTGTAGGTATTAATAATTTTAAATAGACATTTTGAAACAGTTGGAAATGAATTTTTAACAAAGGATATTTGAAAAAAATTTATTTAGGTTTCGATTCTATTTTTGCTAAATAATCGTAGCTAATTTACTATTACAAGTAAAACAAAATTTCACTTGTATTGTTAAAATTAGCTACCTAATTAACTATTGTTCCCGTTTAGATATTGTTTGTTTAGAAATTATTTATTAATATCTGTTGAGTATTTAACAAGAAAAAAATGGCAACATTTGACCTATCACTACTTGCGTCCAGAGCATATGACCTAAAAATAACTAAAAAAAAAAAAACACATTCGAGGCATTTCCCTTTAGTCAAGTAAATTGGCTATTCCCAGAATTCATGAGAAAGCCCTCCGAAACTAGAGGGGGAGAAAAAGAAGAAAAAACGAAAACTTAGGAGGGGTACGAGCGATGACGCAACCATCATGGAACACGCGATGCCACGTCACTAGAGGCTCGACTTTCTTTTGACCAATGATCATTCAGCTCTGTACTACGCGCGCGTGCGTTACTCGAAGCTGTTGGTGTATAAAGAGGCATGTATTGTCATTCGCAGACCACAGCACCCCGAAAGCGAGAAGCAAAAATTTCATTTGCCAAATCAAAAGCAGCAGGTCTTCGACTTTGGTGTATTGGTGAGTGTGCTTTACTATTTAATATTACCATCTTAAAAGTTTTCGCAGGGTGCGAACGAAATGAAAGAAAATATTCTTATAGAAATATCTATATCGGTTCGCAGCGTGATTATATGACTCTCGACCATTTTGTTTTCGAGAGTTTCTTTTCATAATTTTCTTCTTCTTCCCTTTTATTTATTGAATTATTTATATTTTTTTATTAAAGTTTAACATTTTACTCATAATGTAATATAATATATTGGTATGCGATTAATGTAAATCGCATTCGTGTAAATCAGGGTAAACTGGAGGTCGCGGGACCTGCAGCAGCAGGAGGGTGGCCAAAAATTTTAGCAGTTTTGATATTTCTTTAACTTATTATAATAATTTTACAATTACCAAATATTTTACACAATGTTTCTGAAAATTGATAAAAAACAGACAATAAATTTTAGCAGTTTTGATATTTCTTTAACTTATTATAATAATTTTACAATTACCAAATATTTTATACAATGTTTCTGAAAATAGATAAAGAACAGACGATAAATTTTAGCAGTTCTGATATTTCTTTAACTTATTATAATAATTTTGCAATTACCAAATATTTTTACACAATGTTTTCTGAAAACAGATAAAGATAAGATAATACAGACAAAGAAAAAAAAAAAAAAAAAAAAAAAACGAAAACGTTTCGACGCATTCTTTTTATAATATAAACGTTCATTTACCTTGCTTTGCACGTAACGCTCTCATTTCGTCTACTTAAATTTTCACATTGTTCTCTGTCTTAAAATTAGAAATTAAAGTTAATGACCTAAAACTGCAATAGTATATTACAGTACAAGTGAAAAAATTGATAGTTTCACTCACGCGTGTGTCGGATTTGCGCAACACTTATGGGGTCCCACAAAATGTTTGTAAATATTATGGGGTCCTGGGGGTCGCGAAAAAATTTGAGTGATAAAAAGGGGTCGCGACTGAAAAAAGTTTATAAAAAATTGGTGTAAATGAACCAGCAAAACTCTTTGGGATCGTTAATAAGAATTCGAAGCTCTTTCTGTTTGCAATTGCTCAGATGTTAACTGCTAAATTATTAATGTATATAGTATATTATGTTTAAAACATAGTTGTATCTCAGCATGAATATTATTTGACTCGCTTAGAAGCCAATGAGGTCCAATTTTTGATATTTTCTGATTTTTGTAAATTTTGATGAAATAAATAATATTCTTCTTAGTTATTAAAGAATTTACTCGTTGCTTCCTTTTATCTAGGTCGGACATTTTTTTATAGCTTCTGAGTAAGTCCACTTTTTATCAGCAGTTTTTTATATAAACTTTGAAATAAAAATTAAACTATTCTTCTTTTGATATTTGTTGGCAACACTGAAAAACAACAAATCTATAGTAAATGTAACTGTTACTTCTACTACTTAGAATTGTTCGAGTTTTATGTACGTTCTTTCTTTTAATTTGAAATATCTTAACTTTGGTTAAAACATAAAAATATTACATTGAAGTGTTTGTGAAAACTATTGTGTTATCAAAAACTTTAAATAAATTTTCTTTAATAACTGTAAAAACTCTGACTGATGGAAATGTCAAGGAAAAAATGCCAAAGAGAATTTTCATATCTTTTTCAGCTGCCAAAAGATATATGCCTTAAAATTTTTTAGTTGCTGTCATTGTTCCAATAAATATTTAAGTTTTCATTTACACATCCTATACATATCTTGTTTTTTTTTTCAGAGTTTAATCTTAGAAAAAAGACTTTATATACTTTTCTGATCAAATTAACAAACCAAGAATTTTAAAAATTAATGTATCAAAAAAGATTAATTTTCTCAATTTTTCTTTCCTGGACTTAACCGCATTGGCTTCTGAGCGACTCATTTTACTTGTATATCGTTTTAATTCTAATTTCAGGATTAGTATTATTTATTTACAAAAAATTTGAAAGTTTTATTCTAGCGCCAATATTATTTATTTATAAAAACGTTTTAAAAAATCGACTCAGATGTTAACAACAACAAATACACCGTTCCCCTCCCCAGAAAAAAAAAAAAAAAAAAAAAAAAAAAAACTCGGCCTATGTTCTTATGAATAAAATCATCCTGTAGAAAAGAAAACTAGAAACGATATATATAGATTTGATTCTGAAAGATTACCCTTGATTTCTTGAAGAGACTTTTTAGTTTTTATTAGTTATTCTGTTTATTGTATATTTGGTAAACTTTGTAGAGACATTTATTAGACCAAAGGGCGTTAGCCCAGAAGGGCTATTAATTTCGTTTTGGGATTTTGCGTCGATTCGCTTTTCAAATTGTTGCCACCATTTATTACAGCCCTGTATTATATTTAAAGAAATTAAATAATGAAGAATTTACATAAATGTATGTTTTTCGCATTGTGATAAAACAACGGTACCTACAGCCATCCAATTTTGAATAACGTACGCTTCCAGCGAATAAGGGCATCTGGAAGCTCTAATTTGGAATTTGTTTTATTATCTATTTCATATTTTATCCGACATTAAAAAATTTTTGATTAAGAAACTCCACAATTTCAACGCGAAGAATGTCAACACTATACGGAGGAGATCTTCGGCGCGCGAGACTGTGTATCGGAAACTGCGTATTCGCGCGCGAGAAATGTATCGAAAATCGGACTGTGTATCGGAAAATAAGTTATGATCATTTAAAAATTATTTTGCGGTATTGCTGTTGAAAAGAATTTTATGGTTTAAGTGCGAAGAATGTGATATTTAATAAATAAAGATAACGTACAAAATGTTAGAAAAACGCCTCTTTGTGCGTAATGTAAAATCTGAAAGCTTTCAGATTTTTGTTTTGTTTTAATAATATTTTGTTAGCATTCTTTTAATAGCTTTTGTTTTATATATATACCATTCCATTCAAAATGGTGACTGCTTAGTATCAATATATTACAAGTCAGCCTATTTTACTGCGCATTTTCAAATAAATAGCTGTAAAATAGAGCAAGGAAGGCTTATACAGTTTTTGCTTGAACCAGATATGCTTTCTTTATTATCTAAATTAACGACACAAAATATAATAGGTTGAAAATGTAACATTGTTGCCCAGAAGAATGTTTAAAGTAGCCAATAAAATGTTAGCTATACCTAATGTAAATTGATTGCATTTCTTTAAAGCTAAAGAAAATTTAATAATAAGTAAACACGTTATGAACATTTGGCTTGTTTTTACTATGCTATGCATTTAATTACTTACATAAATATCTAAATAATGTCCTAAAAATACTTTACCATTCTTATGATGAGTACAAACCGAAAAACATGCATATATATCTTTTACTGAGTGTTGTTTAATAATCAGTCTGTCCTCTGGTAATCCGCATTTTGATAAACTCTTTCATAAAATGAAATAATTTGCTTCAGAAATTTTTCATTTATATAAGTTCAAAATATCATTATTTTGAACTTTTTGAACTATTTGAATATAATATTATTTGAACTATTTGAATTATTATTTGAATTATTTTGAACTATTTGAATATAATATTATTTGTTCTAATTGCACATATTAGTTCTTTTAATTTATTTTAAATAGGCCGCATATCTGTAGCACAAAGACGTGGCGTTATGTTCAAACACCTGCTTAAATAAAAAGTTCGTTTTAAAACTTTATGACTTTGTTTACTATCTCAGACTCGTTACATATCTTTTAGTGTTGTAGGACCAAAACATCAGTACTAGACCAAGGTTAACCTAGTAACAGTATTCTTACTTTGGAGCAGTGTAATCTAAAAAAAAATAAATAAAAATAAAGTTACTGTCTACATGACACGACTTGCACGGAATAATAAATTATACTCATTCTTTGCAGCATCTCGTTTAAATTTATTTCCTCGAATTTCATTACAGATATGTTTCTCATTCAACTAATTCAATTCTCACCTTGCGGCAGGGCAAAAATATATAAAAACTCAAAATATTTTCATTAAAGATTCAAAAATATAGAAAAACATAAAACGCAAAAGACAGTTAAGACAATTAAGAAAGCAATTTTTACAATTAAAATCACAGTTTCCACGCAGAAACAAGCATTTCGCCCAGCAGGAAAGAAGGCAGATATATTGGTGCACAAAACTAAAAGTTTCATTTTAGTTCCACTCGGCAAAAAGACACTGAAGCTGCAGAAAGACTTAATTCACTATTATGGTAAGTTTCAAATGTAAACAAATATGGCTGCTATGGTAAAAAGACTTAGCCGCACTTAAACAACTCTTAAGTTGTCGATACGTCTACATCTATTGCATACGGATTAAAAGCATAAAATCCTTATTTTAGCTTTTCATTTTCTATTTTAATTTTATATATCTATATATCTATTAATTTACATACTTTTCGTGGGGTTGATTGCAACCGGAAAGGGAGGTGCACAACTACATGTTATAGCAGTCCTATACACAATATTTCAACATTTTGAGGATACTCGTTTTTGAGTTGTTCGAGATACATATATACGTACATGTCCGTACGTACACACGCCAGGGAAAAAAATCTCTTCTGAATCCATTTTAAATCAGTTTTATAAATTCGTTTGGGGAAAAGAGTGCTTTATTCTGTCCTCACGTACAGTTATCGCGTACATCGTTAAATTGCATTCGATAGCGGTCAAAATGGATATTTTCGATGAAATATGAAACCCGGAATTTTTCATGATTACAATACATCATTTCCTTCAAGAAAGTAAAAAAAATGTTAGCTAATAAATTAAAACTTTTTAAGCCTTAATGAATGTTAATGCAATTGTGTTTAAGTTTATTAAAATTATTTTGAAATAAATTACGTTTTCAAAAAAGTTGAACAGAGATAATTAAGTAAATTTTAGTAATTATTGTTATTTTTATCTGTTTAAATAAATACTGAACTAGCAAAAAACTCTTCCCAGAATTTTCAGAATTAATGTTTTTTACTTCCTTGTACGAAGTAAAAAGGAAGTATTGTAATCTCGAAAAGTTTCAGGCAGCATA